TGGGATCAGACCCTGGAAAGCTCAGTCGGCTCCTCGGCAAAGCTTTTGGGATCAGACCCTGGAAAGCTCAGGGAGCTTCTTGGCAAAACTTTTGGGGGTGGACCTTGGAAAGCTCAGGGAGCTCCTTGGGAAAGCTTTTGGGATCAGATTTTGGAAAGCTCAGGGAGCACCTGGGCAAAGGTTTTGGGGATTGGATCCTGGAAAACTCAGGGAGCTCCTTGGCAAAGCTTTTGGGATCAGCCCCAACCCCCTCTGCCGCAGCCCCACAGGGAGATGAGGCCCAGCTCTTAGGAACAGGACGGGTGCTCCCAGCGCTCCCAGAATGATCCCATCCCTTCCTTTCTGGGATGGGCGGAGTTTGCTGCGAGCTCAGGGTGCTCATCCCCCCAAGGATGCCTCCTCGAAACGCTTGGCTTCACTTCTTGGACGCCTCTCCCCTCAGGACTTTGTGGGATGCAGGGATGAAAATGACTATTTACGGCATGTTTTGGCGTGGTTTGGTCCCTCAGGGCACCCCAGGGTCAGCTGTGCCCACCCTTGGGTGCCAGCATGGGGCGAGGGGGGGGACTCGCTGCGGGTGCTGCGGGCGGTGGATGCCTTGGACAGGGCGATGCTGCCATCCAGTGGGCTGGAGAGGAGCAGGGAAGCGGGAATTCTCCTTCCACCTCCTTGGGAATGCAGGAGAAATCCTGCTCTAACCCTTCTGCTGATCCACGGGCCGGGAGGGGGTTATTGCTGATGTGATTCCGCAGGAGGAGGGAAATTCAGCCTCAAAGGCAGGAAAAGTGGTTGAACCCCCGTGGGTTTGCTGAGGTGGGAGCCTTGGTGGGGTTCCCAGGATGGGTTTTCGTGTCTCAAGAGCCCTAAAAATCATCAAGGATTAAAGAAACAACCCCAAAATCCTCTTTGCAGCTCCCCTCTGGTCAGCAGATGCCCCCAAAAGCTGCATGAACTGGTCCTAATCCAGGAACCCCAATTCCTGAGCCCACCTGGAGACACGGAGACACCTCAAGTTCCTGGTGTGCCTTGATGGGGTTTTGTGTCTCAAGAGCCCTAAAAATCATCAGGGATTAAAAAAATCACCCCAAAATCCTCTTTGTATCTTCTCTCTGGTCATCAGATACCCCCATGAACTGGTCCCAACTCAGGATCCCCAATTCCTGAGCCCACCTGGAGCTCCTCTCTGCAGGGGCAGAGACACCTCAAATTCCTGGTTATTGCTAAGCTCTTTTTTGCATCATTTTTTTGGTGCTTTTAACCCACGTTTGCCCCCCCCACCACCCCCTCCCAGGATCCTTCAGGACCCCTTCACCTCCTGGTCAAGCTGGAGAAGACAAGCACAGAAGGAAGATGCAGCTCCCTGGATTTCAGCAGAGGGAAGGAACAGCAGGATCTTGCTGATGGAACAGAAACCTCCTCTGAGAACGTGTCAGAAGAGGGGGAGGTGATCCCGGCTCTGGAGTCACGAGTTTCCCACATCCACTGACAGTGGGTGGGATAAAGGACCTACTGCAGCAAAACTTGCTGTGGGTGGCTTCAAAAACCTGCTTGGAGGTCTGATGGAAGGGGAAACCCCTCAATTTAGAAATTATGTCCCGAAAAAAATCCTCAAATTTTGGTTTAACCCTGGTTTGGGAGACGAGAGAAAAAGGGTCCCACCACCCTTTTGTGTCTAAACCCGGTCTTGAAAAGCCCTGACCCCGTTTTGGGAGTCCTGGCCTTGGTTCCTTCCCATTTAAGGGGGTTTGAAGCCACCTCTGTGTCCCTGAGGAGGAGTTACCGTGTCCTGTGGGGTTCCCTGAGTGAGGGGGGTCCCATAATCCAGCCCCAAATCCAGGGGTTTGGTCACCGTCCCAGGATGGTGGAGGGTAAACCACGGACCCCCCCCCCCAGGGGAAAAGACGAGGGATCCCACTCCCAGGGTGATCCCACACCAGCTCCCAACAAGCTCCTCCAGCACAAGCGACTCCTGAATTCCCACCACGTGCCCTTCCAAAAACAAAAGGTTTGGAAACCCTTTATGGGGACACCTCAAAAAAAAACCCACCCAGATCAAAACATGCTGTGTGAAGCAAAAAATGACTTTTCTTGACCAGCTTCCTATTATTTTTTTTTTTTTCCAGGAGAAAAGGCCCCCTCAGGGCTCCACAACCTTCACTTCCCACGTTCCTTCCATGAAACTCGTGGGACAAAAGCCACCACCTATCATTATGGAGATGACAAAACCAGGCTCACCAGTGTTATTTGGATGCTTCAAGACCTTCCTTTGCTCCTACCAGACCCAAAGGGTCTCTCCCAACCTCAGCAGCTCCAGATTTACACCCTAACCACCCAAAATCCAACCCCTTTGGAAGGTCAACCACCCGGAGCTCACGACAACGTCGCTGCAAAGTGGCTTTCAATCAGTGCTTTTTTTAATCCATAAAAGGTGAGAATCCAGGTACAAATTAAAAAAAAAAATAAAAAAAAACACCAAAAAAATTAACATAAACCAGCTGAGTTTTTTGGGGAACGATCCGACCCCCACCACACAACCCCTCGGAGGGGTCGGGTGGTGGGGGCGGGAACGCGACGGCGGCTTCTCCCGAAGAAATTCCACCTCCAGCTCGGAGACATCGGCGCCTGCAGCAGGCTGAGGGGCGTGGGAAGGCGCTGCCAGCTTGGTTTTTTAAGGGCAAGGTGCCCTTTTCCACCACCCTCCTCCCCCTCCTCGCCGCCCCCACGCGAGGGGCAGCTGGGAGGGTGAGGCGGGAAGGCCGATTGCACCAGATGGATCCATAATCCACCTGGGTGATGCCTCAGCCTTTGGAGAGGCCTCTTGGTCAACGACACAGGGCTGCAGACCCTTCTTTAGTTCACAGAGCCATGGGGTGGGCTGGGAAGGGCTTTAAAGACCATCCCGTTCCACGCCCGCCGTGGGCAGGGTCGGACCTTCCACCAGACCAGGTCGCTCCAAGTCCCCTCCAAGCTGCTCCTTTTAAGTTCTCCTTAAGCCCTGCCCGACCCGGCCTCGTTCCTTTAGGTTTTTCCTTAAATAAAACCAGGGTTAAGAGCTTGGCACAAGGGGGAGTTGAGCCACCCAGAAGACGCCCCAACCCCGGGGGGGGAGATGTTGGGGCGACAATTCCTCCACCCTCCCCAATCCCTTCCTCAAACCCCAAATTCCTCCCCCACCTTCCCAAGTACAAAAATACAACCACGACCTCTCTCTGAAAGGGTATTTTATACCTACCAAGATCATCCAAGGCCTGAAGACCAGAGACAGAGCCTTCAGGAAAAAAAAAAAAAAGGAATGCCCGAGGTGGAAAGGTGGGGGCTGGAGAAGGAAACGCTGCCGATACATCCGACCGCAGATTCGGAGCCTCCCAGCATTCCCAGGACAATTATCAAGATGCATGGATGCATCAGCCCAGGCTTGGAGTGCTGACAGCACAGCGGGAGGGTATTAGCAACGTGTGCAAGATCTCCAATAGCAGCAGAAATTTAGTAGTTTAATAATCTGGAGGAGTTATCTGCCTGGAATTTTAATCTCCTGCCAGAAGGAAAGAAAAAAAAAAAAAAAAA